CAGAGCGCGTGATGGAGAATGTCTGTTCAGGAGTGTGGCTAGAGAGGGGGGAGCACCACCCTGGAAGAAATGATAAACAAAGACGAGGATTTTGAATTGTGAGCGATAGCAAACCAGAAGCCAGTGCAGCGAGGCCAGAACTGGACTGATGTGGTCCCGTTTCCTGGCCCCAGTCAGGAACCTGGCTGTGCTGTTCTGCACAACCTGTAGGCGACGCAGTGTTGACTGACACAACCCTGCATAGAGAGAGTTGCAGTAATCAAGCCTAGAAATTACAAAGGCATGCAGTACCCGCTCCAAGTGGGCTCTCGACAGCATAGGCTTGATTTTTGCAAGGCGTCTCAGGTGAAAGAAACTGGACCGGATCACAGAATTGATGTGAGCATCAAATTTAAGTCCAGCATCAATTTTCACCCCCAAACTGGTAACAACTGGTTTTGAGTAGGGAGAAAGAGGGCCAAGATCAACATAACGATCCACATTCCTGCTGTTGGGGTGAAAAACAATGAGCTCTGTCTTTCCCTCATTCAGATGCAGAATGTTGGCCATTAGCCAAGACTTTACCTCGTTAATACAGGACACAAAGGACTGGATAGAGTGACCTTTTTCCTGACACAATGGAGAGTAAATCTGGCAATCGTCAGCATAGAGATGGAATGATAGGCCATGTTAACGAATGATTGACCCCAGAGGTAGCAGATAAATGGCAAACAAAAGAGGACCAAGGATCAATCCCTGCGGGACCCCCCAGCGGAGCCCCTCCCAAGAAGAAAAAACATCACCCAGTTTAACGCAGAATGTCCTTTTGTGGAGATATGATCTAAACCAGTCCAGAGCTGACCCTTTGATCCCAACCCATCGTTCCAAGCGATCGAGTAGAATCACGTGGTCAACTGTGTCCAAGGCTGCTGTCAGGTCTAACAACAGAAGCACCACAGAAGTACCCTGATCTAGTGATAGATAGATGTCATTTAGGACCCTCAGTAGAGCTGACTCTGTGCAATGGTCAGACCTGAACCCTGATTGGAAAACCTCAAACAGATCAGAGTCAGCTAAATGTGAGACCAGCTGCTGATAAACGACTTTCTCAAGCAGTTTTAATGTAAAAGGCAGGGTAGAGATAGGCCTGTAATTTTCTATCACAGAGACATCAGCACCAGGTTTCTTCAGGGTCGGCCGAATAACTGCTGCTTTCAAAGCAGCTGGGACCACACCTGTGCTGAGGCTCCCATTGATAATCTGACCAAGTGATGGGCCAAGACACGGAAAGGCAGCCTTCCAGAGACGAGGTGGCAGAACGTCAAGTGGAGAGCCAGATGGCTTCTGCCTCGCAACAAGCTTACTCAGCTCAGAGTATGAAAGAGTACTGAGGGAGCTCAGGGTCGGTGGTGATGGAGGAACTGCAACCGGGTCAACAGAGTTACCAGAAATAGCTGCTCTAATGCCTGACACTTTATCAACAAAGAATCTGTGAACAGCTTCAGAGTTTCCAGCAGCTGTAGGAGACATGGAGCTAGGCTCCTGATACACCAGAATTGAGTTTAGTGTTTTGTAGAGAATCTTAGGATTATTGGAGTTTGTTTCAATGATGTCTGCAAAATAGGCCGTTCTGGCAGACCTCACAGCATCCTGATAAGCAACCAGAGATGCTCTGAACAACTCACGCGAGACCTGTAGGCCATCCTTTTTCCACTTTCTCTCAGAGGCTCTACACGCCCGCCTGCAAGCCCATGTGACATCAGAGAGCCAAGGCTCCCTCCTAGGCCGAGACTTGCAAAGTTTGAGAGGGGCAACCACGTCCAGGACCTGATTACAAAGTAAATCAAAGTGTTGTGATTAATGATCAATGTTAGATGGATCAGGGTTAAAGGTCTCTAACCTTACAGACATACAGTCCACAAACTTTGAAACAGTTTCTGCATCCAGTGCTCTAAACCTAGTAGCTGGAGCTTCACACACAGGGACAGGACATGGCAATGTAACATCACAGAGTATAGGAGAGCGGTCAGAGAACACAGGAGGCAAAGTCACAAGGTTCATGACAGGCAGACCAAAAGAGAGAACCAGGTCCAGGGTGTGACCCCTGGCATGAGTTGGGGATGATACCCATTGAGTTAGATTGAATGAATCTAGCAAATTTAAAAATCCTTTAGCAAGCACATTGTCAGGACAGCAGATATGGATGTTAAAATCACCAAAAAATAGGACATAATCATATTTTAGGATGCAGTCTGCCACAAGATCACAGAAATCATTGAGGAAGTTAGAGTCAGTCTTTGGAGGGCGATAAATCAGCACGACGAGCAGGCGGGGAGAGATGCACAGTTCAAATACGCACAGTTCAAAGGAAGAAAATGACATGGTGGGTGTAAGCTGTTTACAAGGAAAGCTGGATTTAAAAACAGCAACCAGCCCTCCACCTCTGCCCCGTGGTCTGGGGATATTAAAACAGGAGCAGCCAGGTGGTACCAGCTCCAGTAGGGCGCTTGAGTCACCAAACGGGATCCATGACTCACAGATGCAGAGAAAACTCAAGTCATGCTGAATAAAAAAGTCACAAAGAATAAATGTTTTGTTCAGCACAGACCTGGTATTGACTAGACCAAACCGGGTCTGGGGCGGGGCTGCAGCACCGAGATCGTGCACGAGCAGTCTCCTTTAACTCTGTGCCTGTAACCGAGCGCAGATTCTGCCAGCAAACCCCAGTCTGGCGAGATCTTCGAGCCGATTGGCCGTGGCGCGGTGCCAGTTCACCCTCAGAGCCGGCCAAGTTCCCTAGGCAGGGCGCAGAGTATTCCATGGGACATCTTGGAACCACCGGGTCAGAAGCTGGGCCGAATCGGACCAGCTGCTTCTTCAGGGTTCCAGCCCGACGTCTCACGCACCGGCTACCTCTCTTTCCCCGTCTTCTCCGATGTTTCCTTCTCGAGCTGGGGCAGACAGAGGGCCGACACATCACGGCTTGGGGGGAGAGAGCACGCGGGCAGTCCAACCAGCAGCGCCATCCGTGAGGTTCCCAGCTCGCGCAACCCGCTACATCAACGGGAGGACGAAGCCTCAGCAGCGCAGCTCGATCGTATGTCACCAGAGAATCCACACCATACAAAAAAGCATCAGAGACAACAAAATGCATAAAAGCCAATAAAACGTCAATAAAAAGCAAGGTACCACTGCATAAAGAGGACGAGCAGCTCGCAGTGTGCACCCGCGCGAGCGCCATCTTACTCCCAAAAACCGGCAAACTGTTGACTCTCTTCATCCAGATCCGTAGGTTTTTGTGGGTCTGAGATCACTTCCAAACATTCATTCATTTCTGACTGAACCCGTGGAAATGTGGGCAACAAAAACCGATCCATTTTACCGCTAGCTCTACCTTTCACTCGTTCACAGGTGGAAAATGAGGTCAAAGGTTTACATCAGTTTCCTGTTTTGGTTTAAGTTTTTACTAACCATATGGTAATTTACTGATTATTTTTGTTTTGTATGTTAAATATTATCACATCCACACGTGAAATTTAAATTAAATTGTAAAAAAATATATAATATTTACTTGGGGGTGCTATGACTAATCCAGGGGTAGCTATAGCGCCCCCTAGACCCTGTTGTGCTTTAGCTCTATTTCTCATCCTTGTTTATGTAAAAATCTGAATATTGTTGGGATAAGTAAAGCCTGAGTGTAGATTAAATAGGTGTGAACACAGTGAGAGACCAAAAATGGACAAATGTGGGTACAATATCTCTCATTTTGTCTTGGTTCAGCTAGTTCTCCTTCCCACTGGTTTCTGCTGTAACAGCAGTCAGTGACGCATGTTTTTGAGTGTCACCAATTTGGTAAAATCTGTTGGATTTCCTCATTTACTGCTTCCACCTAGTGTTCAAGCACCATCACTGCATGTGTAAAGATGAGAGGTTTCTGTAGTGATGAGGAGAAAAAACCTTCGCAAAATGTTCAGAAAAACTACATATATTTATTTATTTTGACTTAAATTTTATGAGGATGTAAACCGCTTGAGATGAGCCATCTCATTTTCGAGCAGGTCCTCTTTCTTTACAATCAATAAAAAAAGAAAGACAACAGAGTCAATGTACAAACAACAAATAAAGATGATAAAACAAAAATAAATGTAAATTTAAAAAAAATTATTACAAATAAATAAACGAAATAAAAAAAAGTTTAAAAAAAGCCTGCATGAGGTCATTTTTTCCACATTATTTTTACATTTTAGTTTAGGTTATTTTTGGTAAATAAATATATGATTAATACATTGGTTGTGCTGTTTGTGTAACCACAAGTTGCAATTGACTCAGGGGCCTAGTGGTATGAGGGTCTACCCTGAGCCTGGGGAATGGTGAGTTCAAATCCCTGGTTCAAATATGTTTGGGCCATACCAAAGACCTTAAAAAAAGGGTTAAACCACCAAATGAGTCCCGAGTGCAGCCATGTCTGCAGCTCACTGCTCCCCAAGGAGATGGATCAAATGCAGAGAACACCTTTCCCACACCAGTGTGACAACTAGTGGGACTCGAATACCTACATCTCCTTTTCTTTCTCTAATTAATTTTCATAAACTTTCTTATCTCTATCTTGGTCTCATAGACTTTTCAGTCAAATGTGGCAGTCACTTGCATGTAACAAATTTCTATACTAAAATAGATTGATTCTTAATTAAAATGTTTGTAATTCTTAAAGTCCCATTAGTCATCACACATTGGTGAAATTGCTTCTCCACATTTGACCAATTCCTGTGGGGAGTGGGGAGTTGCAGCAGTGGCTGCAATTATTTGGTGGTTAAACAACATCATCATCATCATCATCATCATCATCATCATCATCATCAATAATAATAATAATAATAATAATAATAATAATAATAATATGTGCAAGTGTTAAAAAAATTGAAAGTCAAATAAAGCCCTAAGGAGAAGTGTGTCTTTTAAATTTTATTTTCATAAATAAATAAATAAATAAATAAATAAATAAATAAATAAATAACGTTTGTTCACTCAGTCGATCAGAGATTTGAAATCAGGGCTCTGCTGCTTTTCCCTGACGTAACGCCCAGGAAAAGAAATCGAGAATCGAGAAGTGTGGACCGCATCGCACACTCCTAATCAGAAATGGTAGGTTTGAATGAAATTTCATTTAGTCTTGCCAGTTTAAAATTATACATTATTTACACAAAAATAAAATAGTTAGTTTACCGTTATGCCTGTTCATTTATCATTTAGAGGATCAATTTAGTCGGTGTGAGCTAACATAACTAGCTTAGTTTTGTCTGTATTGTGAGTAAGCAAAACAGCCTTGGAAACTGTTGGCGCTACACTGATTATGACTGCCTACTCGCATAAACCAGTGTGTTTGCTTTACTGTGTTACATTGAATAATACGTAATGACCCCCGAAATTGTAATCGATATGACAACATTACTTATTTAGATGAGTCCAAAGCCGGCAGCAGGCTAACACTAATTGTTAGCTAACATTAGCTTCTAAGTTAGCCTTAGCAATGCTCGGGGTAGGCTGTGCTTTCGGTTTCTCAGCTCACCGTTCATTTTGATAGTGACTTATTTTGTCTGTCCGTGTGGTAAAGCTAAGATAGCTACGAATTGATCCACAAGTATTTCTAATGTCAGCATTTTACTAAACAATTGGTACACAGAAATCGAGCAGGAATATGACCTCAGCCAGTCTGAAGGCTGCTTGTGGTTCGGAGGGAGCTTAGCAAAATCGCGAGATTATCAGTTATTTATTCATTAAAGTAATTTAAAACCTCTGGGTAGAGAAGACCTGGCTGTAGACCTACAGGCACGGACATTGTTAACTTATCGCGTCAAAGAAATACGTGAGAAAACAGTTAATAAAATGCAAGACGATTATGTAAGTTCAACCATTGATGATTATTCTGTAATGTAAGACTTCTAAATCTAATTTTGGATTTGTTTTTCTTTATCTGTAGTTCCGCAACCAGTACGACAATGATGTGACAGTATGGAGCCCACAGGTAAGTTTTCCTCAGCATGAGTCACCAAGTGTAGATGTCACACAAGTTGCTTATGCTCGTTTTTGTGCACTCACAGGGGCGGATCCATCAGATCGAATATGCCATGGAGGCGGTGAAGCAAGGATCTGCAACTGTAGGACTGAAATCCAAAACACATGCAGTCCTGGTTGCACTAAAGGTACATCTCACTGCTGAAACTGTCACCAGTCTAGATTCCTCTCACTTGATGTCAGTAAGGGACCTGAACGTGGTCTCTTATTGACATTTACAAGTTTCTGTGTTGTTGAAAATGCTGGCCTTTTGCTGATTCCCATCCACAAGGAAAACTAGAATTATCATAGGATGAAGGTAAAGTTTATGGTTGTCAAGAATACCAAACTTTACGTGATGCAGCATGACTCTATAGCTAGTTTTGTAGGAGCACTACTCAGCCTGAAACTAGGGATGCATCGATCCACATTTTTTCACTTCCGATTCCGATAACTGAATTTGAATATCTACCGATACCGATATTATTTCGATACTAGAGGAATATTTGTTTTAATGTCATTATGATTATTATTATGGTTGATTTTATAAGGCTATAATAAACTCTTTTCTACAAGAATGATATGTAATTGAGAGAAAGCCCTACAAGTAAGAGCCCAGCACCATGTCCCAAAAGATAAGTTGAGATAAGCGAGGTCATAAAACAACTAATTGTCTATCCTAAAATAAAAATAAAAAAGCAACTAATGTTTCAAATTGAAATTTATTCAATTTCAAGGCAGGGTTACTGGACGCAAGTGCATTATGCACAATCAAAGAAACAAACCCTTTCAATTGAACTAAACAGCCCAGGTCCAAATAATCACACTAGGCAGTAACACATTTTTAAATTGTCAAATATGAATTGAAAAGGGTAAACTTCCATAAAACTACTCCAAATAAAATAGAGGGCTTTATCCAATCCCCACAAATTAAGTTCACTGTCTTTTGTAGTATCAAAAATGTAATTTTCAAGTATAAAATCACACTATCAAAAAAAAGTGCATCTGAGACAAATTCAGTAAGTCTTTGCTCATGTAGCAGTAAAAAAAACAAAAGTTTTCAAATGTTAAACATTTTGAATTAAAGAAAAGTGCAATGTAAACAAACAGCAACAGTGTGCATCTGAAAAGTACAATTCAAGCATTGGAGATTTTGCATTGCAGGTGACCTAGATAAAGTTAACAATCTTGTCAGAGTCTGGAACTATTCTTGAAAAAAAATGTAAATGCGTGAGGTACTTAAATGTTGTTCATCTAATCTCACTTAAACAATGACAGGTTCTTTCTGAGGAATATAAGCATTTCTGCTCTTTCTGCTGTCAGACCATTCCTTTTTTCATCCACAATATAGACCCTTTTACTACCTACGTCATCAAAAGTTGCGCGCGCAGCCTGGCAACGAGAGTGAAGGCTTTCTCATTCACACTCGATACTAAAACAGCGTTTTAAACCCTTTGTTTTGAAGTTCTGAGCACATAAACATGTCGGGTTGTTGCGTGTATGGATGCCAGAATCGCTTCTCTTCAAGCAGTGGACTGAAACTTTACAGAATTCCGAAGGGAGCACATCCATTTCAACAAAATCGGAGGCGTCTGTGGCTGCAGGCCATCAAAAGGGTAACTGCAGCCTTTTTCTGTTTTTCCCATCCTAACACAAAGCTCAACTCTGAATAAAATTGCTGCTGCGTGGCTGCAGCATGACCCAAGTCTGGAACATCAAAATGACAGAATTAAACAAATTTATACGCTTTCTCTATTTCTCTAAAATTAACACGAATGTACTCTGAGCACGCTAAAAAAAGAAACCTATGCTATACTCACCCTGCCATGCAGGTACAGTTGGCTGTGAAGACGTAGTTCTCTGGTTTGTTTACTATGACCCAAGCCTCGTACATAGCAGTCTTGTGTCCTTGTCTTTGGCTAGGAAGGACTTCTGCCTTCAAGACGCAAAACTCAGAGTCTATGTCGTGATATTTTACTTTCTGTACGTGGCCACAGACAACATAGTTGTATGCTGCTAACGATTTGTATGCCCATAGCTTCTCACGTGTGTACTTACTGGGCCTCTCCACTAAAAACGTATACATATATCGGGCCACTGGATATCTGGCCACGCACCTACATCTTCCACCCATTCCGTAATGCCACAGGGATCCGGGAGTCTGTTGCCATTCGTTAAAGTGAGTTTAATAATATAAAACTGTAAGCCATTCTACTCCCCACGTGAGTTCGCTTCATTCATTCTGGCCGCTGTTTACATCCCGCCGTGCGCGGACGTGCACGAAGCGCAACGTGCGCTCGCGGAGCAGATCCTAAGTGTGGAACAGACCTTTCCGGACTCTCTAGTTATTATCCTCAGCGACTTTAACAAGGGAAATCTGAGCCAGGAATTGCCTAAGTACAAACAGTTTGTTAAATGCCCGACAAGAGAGCAGAACACGCTGGACCACTGCTACACCACAGTTAGTGGAGCTTATCGGGCCGTGCAGCGAGCTGCCCTCGGCTTCTCAGACCATGCCATGATTCACCTCATCCCCTCATATAGGCAGAGGCTGAAGCTCTCCAAGCCTGCAGTGAGAACTACTAACAAGTGGACCTGCGAGGCTGTGGAGGAGCTTCGCGTGTGTTTGGACACAACAGACTGGAATGTGTTTGGATCTGCCACAGACAATTTGGATGAATATACAGACATTGTGACATCATACATAAAATTCTGTGAGGACAGCATTATTCCAACAAAAACCAGGGTCATTTTTAACAACGATAAGCCCTGGTTCACACCCAGACTGAGACAGCTGAGGAGAGAGAAAGAAGCAGCCCACAGAGCCGAGGACAGAGAAAGCTATAAGGGCGCCAAGTACAGGTTCTCAAGAGTTGAAGAAGGCGAGATCTCAAGCGACTAAAGGAGCAGTTCACCAACAATGACTCCGCCTCTGTCTGGAGAGGGCTCAGGCAAATCACAAACTACAAGCCCAGAGCCCGACATGCTGCTGATGACCGACAACTGGCTGAACAACTTAACTCCTTTTATGCAAGGTTTGAAATGCAACACCCATCCCCCACACCCCCTACTGCACAGGCTTCTTCAGCCACTCTGGTGTCATATGCCTCCCCCACCATCTTCACCACTGTGAATAGTTCAGTCCCCACTGACCACCCCTCCCCCCCCATTACCATCTCAGTGACAGAAGAGGAAGTGCTTAGGGTTTTCCATAAACAAAATCCTCGGAAATCCCCGGGCCCAGACGGTGTCTCCCCCGCAACCCTGAGACACTGCGCAGAGGTACTGTCTCCAATCTTCACGGACATCTTTACCATCTCCTTGGAGACCTGCCATGTTCCAGCCTGCTTTAAGCTGTCCACCATTGTTCCTGTGCCTAAGAAACCCCATGTCACTGAACGGAATTATTATAGGCCTGTGGCGCTGACGTCTGTAGTCATGAAGTCTTTTGAGCGCCTGGTCCTCCCCCATCTCAAGTCCTTCACCTCCCCCCTCCTGGACCCTCTGCAGTTCGCATACAGACCCAATAGGTCTGTAGACGATGCCATCAACCTGGCCCTCCACTTCATCCTGCAGCACCTGGACTCCCCGGGCACCTACGCTAGGATCCTGTTTGTGGACTTCAGCTCTGCGTTCAACAGCATCCTCCCTGCTCTGCTCCAGGACAAGCTCTCCATGCTCAACGTACCCAACTCCACCTGCAGGTGGATCACTGACTTCCTGACGGACCGAAGGCAGTGCGTGCGGCTGGGGAAGAATGTTTCCACCATTCAGACAATTAGTACAGGATCTCCACAGGGCTGTGTACTTTCTCCTCTGCTCTTCTCCCTGTACACAAACTGCTGCACCTCGAGCATGACTCCGTTAAACTAATCAAGTTTGCGGACGACACCACCCTCATCGGGCTCATCTCTGACGGTGATGAGTCCGCCTACAGGAGAGAAGTGGAACGGCTGGTGTACTGGTGCAGCAGCAACAACCTGGAGCTCAATGCTCAGAAGACAGTGGAGATGATTGTGGACTTCAGGAAAGTCACAGCCCCGTCTCTCCCCCTCGTCCTGACGGACACCGCCGTCACCACTGTGGACTCCTTCCGCTTCCTCGGAACCACCATCACACATGACCTTAGGTGGGAGCCATCCATCAGCTCCCTGATCAAAAAGGCCCAGCAGAGGATGTACTTTCTGCGGCAGTTGAAAAAGGCCAAGCTGCCGACCCAGATGATGGTGCAGTTTTACACGGCCATCATTGAGTCCATCCTCACTTCCTCCATCGCTGTGTGGTACGCTGGAGCCACAGTGAGGGACAAACACAGACTGCAGCGCATTGTGCGCTCTGCTGAGAAGGTGATTGGCTGCAGCCTTCCATCTCTCCAGGACCTGTACGTCTCCAGAACTCGGGGGCGTGCAGGTCGGATAGCAGCTGACCCTTCTCACCCGGGTCACAGACTTTTTGAGCCGCTTCCCTCAGGCAGGAGGTTACGGTCCATCCGGACCAGAACCTCTCGCCATAAGAACAGCTTCTTTCCATCTGCCGTTAGACTTGTGAACAGCTTATAAACACACAACCATGCTCGTCTTCGGTACTTGACATAACGTTACGTTATCGGCCATATTACCTTTACCTGCCATTTTTTATAGCAAAGTTTTATGCTAGTTATTATATTTTATTCTACTTTATTCTACTCTATTCTATTTTTTAATTATATTATTCATGTCATATGTAGCACGTTAGTACCGAAGCAAGTTCCTAGTTTGTGAATCGTTTATTCACTAACAATGGCAATAAACCTTTTCTGATTCTGATTCTGATAACATTCAAGATTTGCCGGTGATAACCCCGCAGCGTAGCTTGACAAAGCCTGAAACAACACCATTCTCTGTTGCCAAGCTGCGCGCGCATTCTCGCTGACGTCACATTGTTTACAAACAGTAAAAGGGTCTATTGGATGCTGTACTAAACAGTCTTTCACTTTCAACACTCGTTGAAGGAGCACTCAGGAACTTTACTGCAACAGCAGCAAGGAGAGGAAAGCGGGCATGGTTGTCTGCCCAGTACTGGAAAGGGCTGTCTAGCTCACCCATTGTTGGTTCTTTCAAGTACATTTGCATCTGGATAACTGCTGCCTGGGTACCTTGTGCAGGTTCAT